TTAGTGTGACACCCCTTCATATACTTAAACAGGGCTATCACATCAACCTTTACTTAACCGTTTCTTCTCCAGGCTAAATATACCCAGTTCCCTAAGTCCTTTTTGAATTGTGGTGCCCAAAACTGGACACAGTATTCCAGGTGAGGCCTGACCAAAGCAGAACAGAGTGGCAATATTACTGCCCTTGAGCTAGACACTATACTTCTATTGATGCAGCCTAAAATTACATTGGCTTTTTCAGCTGCCGCTTCACACTGTTGACTCATGTTCAGCTTGTGGTCTACTAGGACTCCTAGATCCCTTTCCCAAGTAGTCTTCTTAAGCCAGGTGTCCCCCATCCTATATCTATGCATTTCATTTTTCCGCCCTAAGTGCAGTACCTTACATTTCTCTGTGTTGAAATTCATTCTATTAGCTTTAGCCCAACTTTCTAATCTATTCAGATCTTCTTGAATTTTGATCCTGTCTTCTGGGGTATTAGCTGCTACTCCTGATGATGATGATGATGATGTAGTAATAGTAGTAGTAATAACATCATTGCCAAGGGTCAGTGTGGTGTACTGGTTTGAGTGTTGGACTATGACTTTGAAGACCAGGGGTCGATCCGCAGCTCAGCTAGGAAACCCACTGGGTGACCTTGGGCAAGGCATACCCTCTCATCCTCAGAGGATGGCAATAGCAATGGCAACCCCCCTCTGAAGAAACTTGCCAAGAAAACCCTATGATAGATTTGTCTTAAGGTTGCCTTACGTTGACTTGAAGACACACAATATCAACCACATCATAATTGCTATAGCTTAATTCCAAATGTACCAATTACCAACAGATGAGAATTCCACTTGACTCATAAAATGCAATGATAGTACTGTGGATACTTGAACATCCACAAAAAACAGGAAATTCACTATCAAAAAAAGAGGAGAACATGCTAATTCACATATGTACATATAAGTTTAGAAACCATTATGATAACAATGCACAGGCGCCACAGTAGAGAAGACTATGACTGGGTGGCAACCTCATCACACTACTGCCTAGATGCTCACTGTTCAAGGCCTCTGTTTTCCTATCCAAAGTATATATTCATCTTGAATCTCTTGTCATCACTTATGGTTATGGTAATTTTAAACAGGGCTTTGACTGAAAAGCCATTAAAAATGGGACACCCACAGAGAAGTGCCCTCTAGAAAGTACGATCCCTGGCTATCTTAACTGAAGAATGAGGGGAAATCCATCAGCTGGGAACCAGACTCTGGTGGGCAATTAATCTCTATTGAGGGAACATATCCCCAATCAGTCAGAGAAAAAGCAGATGTAATCTGTGGCACACTGTCTGAAAGTAACACCGATTTATGACTGAGAAACGGCATGAAAATAATAATGTTAGAACTATAGTTGCCACTCCGCTTTTGCGGGGGATCCATTCTGGACCCCCAGCGAAAACAGAAAATTGCCAATATTCAAGCCCCATTGGCTTGAATGGCGGTGTGCACCCCTCCATTTGCCACCCACAAATAGGCAAGAGACGTGGACTCCAAGTCTGCAAAAATAGAGGGGCAACTGTATACTCTTTCATATATTTACATATACAGTATTCCCAAATCATAACACTTTGCCTTCCAAAGGCAAGCTAAGGCCATTCTTTCAGAAAAGAGTCTGGGAAAAGGTATAATGTATTTGCACCATGTTCTTATTACTGTGGGCCTGACTGACATGCCTAGGATTATGATTCATGTATTTGTTATAATTATTTTTAGGCTTTACTGTTTTCATTACTACTGCATTTTGCTTACTGTGTTTAAAGTGTGATATTTTCTTATTAGCTACCTTGGAGGTCTCTTATTAGGCAATATGGCAACACTGAAATATTTCTAAGCAGAAACAACATTTATTTACATCCAATACATTTATGCAAATTATGTTTCTTTTTTTCATCAAATCTGCTGGAAATAGGAGCAAGCACCCAAACCTAGATCCTTTCTTTTCTTAAAATA